TCACATATAAATAGAGCCAGCATACTTTTTTAATTGTTATTTTATTTTTTTTATTTTTTTTTATTTGTAATTTTTTATTTTTGTTTTTTTTTAATAATACTACTGGAAAGTTTTGGTTTGCACAGGTCTTATTTTTCTGACGCCATGTTCACAGCCTACCTTATGAATATGGAATTGTTTTCTTCTTATCTGAATTGATTTAATCTTCACCATGTGATTATGTACACATGTGCTTATTATCTAGACAATTTTATTTTGTCTAGCTGATTTTTGTAGTGGCAAATTATATGACCCCTCACATGCACTAGACCTGGGGTCTGCAACCTGTGGCTCTGGGGCCACATGTGGCTCTTGGTCCTCCTGCAGCAGCTCTTTTAAGCTTTGATCAACATTAACAACAATAAACTTGAAGTGGCCCATGGGCCACCAGCTGATGATTCCAGTTGAGCAGGTTTTGTGACTCCAGACACATTTTACTTGGTGAGCAAAAGGGTAGAAATTGCTCTTTTGATGCAAAAGGTTGCAGACCCCTTCACTAGGCAGTTGTTGGCTAATGTAAACAAAAGACTGGCTGCATATTTACAACAATGACAATTTACAACAATGACTCGGATTACCCTATAAAACGAAAGTTACGTATGTAACTACGGTTCTATGAATCCCGGATGACCGCCAGAGGGCGGTGCTGAAAGCACTGAATGTTCCCTTCGCGCATGCGCTGATTCGAGTAATAATACCAACGGAGTCACAGGTGTGACACGGATGACCAATCAGAGGCTATATAGCCCGACGTCATCCGCTGCTCTGCTCCTACAGAATCTTCTCGCGAAACGCAAGGATTCTGAGTGACGGAGAAGCTCTGGCGGTCATCCGGGATTCATAGAACCGTAGTTACATACGTAACTTTCGTTCTATTTCATCCCTCCTGACCGCCAGAGGGCGGTGCTGAAAGCACTGAATGACTAATATCAACGATGTCACAAGGAATCCTAACACCTACCTCACTGAGGAGGCCCAGAGGACCCTTGTAGAAGAACCTGGCCCAGGGGATGAGGGGTGGCCACGTTAACTTTATAAAATCTGGTGAACGTGCTTGGGGAAGCCCATGATGCAGCAGCACATATTGCTTCCAGCGGAACCCCTCTCAGGGCAGCCCAGGAAGCGGAGACGCTCCTGGTAGAGTGAGCCTTCAAGCCGACAGGGAGGGAGCCGGGCCCTGCAGCATAGGCGTGGCAGATGACGTCCACGATCCAGTGGGAGAGGCGCTGTTTGGAAAGAGGACAGCCTAACCTAGGGCCTCCATAACACACAAACAGCTGGTCTGAATGTCTTATCACGGCAGTAGCTGCAACATATGCCTCCAGTGCCCTTACCGGGCACAATAATGCAGACCCCTCACCAGGCGCAGGCTGAAAACGTGCCAGCCTCAATGGTTGATTAGAGTGAGAGTGAGATAACACCTTTGGTACGAATGCAATGTTTGGCCACAAGGTAACACACGAGCCCTCAGGGCCCCACCTGAGACATGAGGGGCTGATTGAGAGAGCATGTAGCTCGCTGACCCTCTTTGCTGAGGTAATAGCCAACAAAAAAGCCGTCTTACATGAAAGCCACTTGAGGTCCGCCTGCGACAGAGGCTCGAAAGGAGGACGGCACAGAGCTTCGAGAACCAAGGGAAGGTCCCAACCTGGTGCTCGTGGAGCTGTCGGCGGGTGTGACCTACGGGCACCACGCAGAAAAAGAGAGACTAGATTATGGCTCCCTACCGTACAGCCATCAATGCCAGTGTGATTAGATGATATTGCCGCTACATAAACTTTAAGCGTCGAAGGACAGCGACCCTTACCAAGTAGAGACTGGAGAAACTCCAGAATGGTGGGTATTGTACAGGAGACTGGATCCTTGTTGTGATCCGAACACCATTGGGAAAATAGGCGCCACCTGTTTTCGTACTGCTGACGAGTAGAGGGTGCCCTGGCGCCCAGGATGGTGCGTCTGACGGGGCTCGAAACTCCAGTCAGCTGCTGTCCTAGCCTTGCAGTGGCCACACCCACAGCTGAAGACGTTGAGGATTGGGGTGCCATATCAGTCCCCCCAACTGAGACAGCAAGTCCCTTCTGGTCGGAAG